TATATATCGTCAAATAGAACTGCCCGGTAAACCGTAGGCAGAGAGGGAGAAGAGGACAACAAACGAGGGGCTGTGACAAACTGTTTCGTCGGAGTTTCACCGACTCATCAGGAGGCTGAACCCTCAACAGTCTGTAGAATCCTATAATATAAAATATAATATACATATATCAAGGCCAAAATCATTCCATACCGGGCGCCATGGCCTCTAACGTCAGTCTCCTCCCCACTCACAGGCTCTGTTCCAATCAGCATACTCACAATCACAAAACCAACCCTGACTGCCAGAAACCAAACAGACCCAGACCATGACCCCAGATCATCAACGCTGGATATATGCTCCCCGTCCCCTCCCCTGCGCACCATCCCAACCCCGCCATCCTGCAGACTTTACATCATGCCACCGACTGAAAAGCCATCAGTATGGGGCGCATTCGTTAGTAGCCGAAAGCTTTGCGATTGCACACACAATTTCTTCTTCATCATTACTCAGGAACTTCGTGTATTATTTCCACGAGATTTATAAAAGTTGTCTGCCTAACGATTCTAAATCAGCGTGACAATGGCTGCGTGCCCAGCTTCTACAGCGTACTATTCCTTTCGCCTTTACTAAAGAAATACCCGTGGACTGCGCACAAATAAGCAGCTTGGGGAAAAAAAAAGAAAAGAAGGTGGGACTAAAACTTCGATACCGTGGTTCCCTGAAACTTCTCTCAACGAGTCTCGAGCACAAATCGCACTAACACGAGCTGGCTTCTCATTCACCTGAAAGTTCCCTGAAAGTTCTCTCAACGAGTCTCAAGGCCTCTGCGAAAAAAAAAGGAGGCTCGGGGCAACATGATCAAAATGGCTGGTGGCACGAGCCAAAACTAACAAAAACGCCGCGCAACGCTTGGCGTGCAGTGGGAATCTACCTCGTACAAAAAAGGCACATTGATGTACTGCTTTAAGGGGCCTATCTTCTGATACCATCCATCCCCCTTACCACAATGCTTAGGTTTTGACACCAAGTCAGATCGGCTGTTCATATTGCATTTACTTTTTTTTCTCTCACTCTCTTTTTTTTTTTCTTTTTTTTTTTTTTGAAACAGGTGCGAGGCATATGCCCCTATGAGCCCCTTTCAGGCCCTGCCAAGTAACCCGTCGGCCGCCCTATGTGAAGGCAGGCACGACGAGGGCCTGAGGGCCGCTATTTCGGTCACCACGCAACTAAGGAAATTCAGGCAGTCGTGCAGCGCCAGTTGGTTGAGAGAACCCAGGCCCTGGGCCGCCTGTGTGAATGTATGGAAAGCAGGCCCTGGGCTGGATACGGGTACTGGGCCAAACACAGGCCAAAGGCAGTTGGGTGAATGCAACCACCTCAGGCCCAAGGCCTGTTCTCGTTCGTGCTGGGCCTCAGGCTACCGGGACCTACTGGAAGCTTCCTGGGACTGAACGCAGGCAGGCCAATTCGATATAGCAAAGGGCCTGCCTCCACATTGGGTATTCGGGTGCTGGCTGCATGCTGCGCAAGCGCTGCCGCGCTGTAGCTCGCTGGCACTCACGCGCTCACGGGCGAGCAGGAATCAGCAGGCAGCCATAGCCGAGCTGTGCTGCTGTAAGCTGGGTGTGGCGCAGGGTGGTCCTTGGGTGCAAGTGGCATCTGTGTGTTGGGGAACGAGGTTGTGAGTAAGGCGAGAGACATACCTGGTGCTGGAAGCGTGCGACATTGGTCGCTGTATGCTCGTACTTCGGGAAAGCTGTTGACGTCATCTTCGGCATTGCAGTCTAGGCTAGATAGGATCTGCCATCTGTAGTCTGGGCGCCGAGCGCCAGATGGGATATCAACATTGGTTCTTCGTTGATGATGATGGTGAGACTTTACCAGCATTGTCAATTATGAGCTCTTGGTGTGTTCTTATTTCGTGAAACTCGTGATGCAATTCTGCTGTTCGTTCGAGGTCACGACTATCTGGTCTTGTGTATATGATGCAGTTTGATTGCTGAAGTTCGCTATCGCTCATCTTCCTTGCACAGGTGTCAGCCATGAGATATCATCTTCAAAGTTCAAGCTGACCAGCCCTTTTTTTTTTTTTTTTTTTTTTTGAAACAGGTTAATTCAGAGTTATATTAACCAACTGACTACATCTGGATTCGAGCTTTCGAAAACTCTTTACCAGGTTTACCTCTAATCACATCCATCCCTGCTTCACCAAAACATAATGGCATTCAATTCCACCATTCTCAAGCTTTCTCGAGGATAGCTCTCCTCCTCCTCCTCCTCCTCCTCCTCCTCTATCTGCTCCAATCCAAGTGGCAACTTACCTTTGCAAGTAGTGAATCATAATGAATGCTGACCTCACTCCCTTCCTCGACTCCAGTGTCGACCCTCACAACCTCAGTTCGCAAATGCGGGACCGGTCTGACATAATGCCGCAAGCGACCACTTGCTCTGTGAAAATCCATGAGACATCACACAACACAAAATTGTCTCAAATGATCTCAGTGATTCATTGTGATACTCTGAAGTGCCAACACCCAGCTTTCAAAGATTGACCCAGTAGGGCCAGTACATAAAAAAAAACTTTCAAAAAAGTTCATATAAACAAGAATAAACAAGAATACCGACACCGACTTGATCATGCCAAAGTTCGTTGCCGCCAGACTACAGCGAGTGTTTCACTGATCACGCGAAATCTTGGCAGCAAGGTGCACATGAAATGTGCTTCAAATGGTCTTTGCTGCTTCTGTTTTAAGGAGGGGGGGGGGGAAAGCAAACAGAACCATCTTGACAACCACACCCATCATTGTCCACTTCATCTTCCTCATCTTCATCATGATGACAGTCATAATCGCCATCATCATCATCATCATCATCATTACCACTTGACATTGCGCATTTAAAGCCGCGAAAAAAGAAAAGAATTTTCAGACGAAAGAGAGAGAGAGAGAGAGAGAGAGAGAGAGAGAGAGAGAGAGAGAGAGAGAGAGAGAGAGAGAGAGAGAGAGAGAGAGAGAGAGAGAGANAGAGAGAGAGAGAGAGAGAGAGAGAGAGAGAGAGAGAGAGAGAGAGAGAGAGAGAGAGAGAGAGAGAGAGATGAGAGCAGTGATTGACTCTAGCGGCAGGAGTGATGCTGCCTGTAGAAAGCAGAAGGGTTTCCAAAAAATCGTGCTGGCTTGATGCCCTGCTGACAGGAGAACACTTACGGAAGAAATCCTCTGCGCGGATCTTCGGCGCAGATCCGGCTTTCAATTGCCCATCCTTTTAAGTCCAGTGCACGCTCCTGCGTCACGTCCAATGCTTCTCCGGCTGCAATCTGTATCACCGCAACAATTCGAACCAAATTCAGAACACTGCAATCTGTATCACCCTGAAAATTCGGACCAAATTCAGAACACTGCGTAAGCAGCGACATGGCGAGATCCACACAAGAGAAAGAGACGCGTAAAAACATTCACCAATGACGAGTTAATTCCAGACATCCCAGCGAAACCAACCCCTGGAAGATGATTCACATCCCCTACTTCTTCCTACCGTCTTCACCCAAATAGAGCGCCCGATAATTATTGCCATATCAGGACTGAAAATTGCACCAACTACAGATGTAATGACCGGGCGTTCCATTCGGGTGAAGACGGTAGCATCTGAGGTTCATCCTAAGGAAAAAGGGTAATTACTGCGCGGATGGCTAATCCACGCAAGAGGAAGAGAGAGAGAGACTGTAGGGAATAAGAAGCTCTAAGCAGTTTGGGAAAGGCTATATATAACCTCTACACCTGGGTTATTCGTGTCAGAGTCAGTCAGACCAGGAACGGTTGTAATTGTTTGTCCAGGCTACCCCGGTAATGTATGTACAGGCCCTATTTTCTGCAGGTCACAAGGAAGGGCTGGGAGGGCCTTTGGCAGAGCAGCCTTGGATCAGGAGTCTGGAGGGAGGAGAAAACGAAAAAGAGAGAGAGGCAAGAAAAGAAGAAGACATTATTTGTGTAGAAAAAGCTAACACATTGTGCAAACATGACAAGGAAGTAGGATATGGATTACAGATTACAGCATAATAATCGCAGCATGCAGCATGAGCACTGGTGGAGTCTGGCGCCAGCACCTCAAAATAGAAAAACAGGGTGCAGAAGCAGCTCACACATCATCCCACAAAAATGCACACGCATCGCCCCCCCCCCACCTTAAGCTGGCATCCTGAAAATAGGTTCCAACTTCCAAGTGTTTCCAACAGACTCTGCTAAATCCATTTTTTTGAGTTTTTGATTTATGACGAGGGCAAGCAGTGGCAAGGGACGCCACCGTGCCTCACCCCTCCCCCAGAAAGAACTGAAAGACAGTCAGGAAAACTTACTTTCTGCCAGTTTCTGCAGGACAATGCTTCACAATGACCCATTTATAGAGCTCTGAGAGAAAGAGCAATAAGGTGCGACAGACCACGTCGTTGGAAACATAAGAAGTGAAGAACGTATCTGTGGCTGGATAGCCAGCAGGCGATCAGTTTAAGGGGGGGCAAGGATTCGAGGGGAAGAGAGGAAAAGGGGACAAAGTTCACAACGCATGGGGCGGGCCTTTCAAGGAAAGCCCAACAAATAACTATTGCCGTAAGGGGGGACTGCCACGACCTGGAAGGGCCTTGTTTTCCCCAAAATGCAGTGACTACAGGAGGCCCTAACTCCCCCTGCTTGCCCGGTAGAAACCAGTGTATATGGCCTCCTTAAACCACCAGTACCTCGCCCAGCTATCTACTCCGAGCCTCGGCCGATGGTTTCCTGACCCGTGCCGAGGCTGGAGAGAGAGAGAGAGAGAGAGAGAGAGAGAGAGAGAGAGAGAGAGAGAGAGAGAGAGAGAGAGAGAGAGAGAGAGAGAGAGAGAGAGTTGCAATCTTGGACAAGACATGCGAGGCTTTACTTTCACAGAATACACATCCTGTCCATGGCATGCGACTCGCAAAGTCGCGATTACCCTTCTACCTCTCTGCTCAGGTAATCCTTTCAGCCATTATCCTCAGTATATATACCTCCAGGCCATTATCCTCAGTATATATACCTTCGGTCCAAATACTTCCCTATCTGGCTTCCCCAGTCCCTGCAGTCTCCTCTCATCATCGTATGCTCGTCGCCGCTCCTGCCTTCTGCCGTCCCGAATTTCTCCTGGTTGCGGAAACATCCTTGGAAAATTTCTGTGTCTTTATATCCGCTGAATAATCCAGGTACTGCTTCTGGTTCCCTCATTGCTTCGCCCCAAATGAGTATTTAGAGTATTCCCTTGCTTTGCCGTCCAATTTCCATCTGGTCACCAAATCCTTCGACAATTCATCCTCCAAAAGGTTATGCGTTGATTGAGGGTTCAGCCTCCTGATGAGTCGGTGAAACTCCGACGAAACAGTTTGCCACAGCCCCCCGTTTGTTGTCCTCTTCTCCCTCTCTGCCTACGGTTTACCGGGCAGCTCTGTTTGACTATATATACATATATCATCAAACAGAACTGCCCGGTAAACCGTAGGCAGAGAGGGAGAAGAGGACAACAAACGAGGGGCTGTGACAAACTGTTTCGTCGGAGAGAGAGAGAGAGAGCTGCCCGATGAGTTCACTGTAACTGTAGTCCTCCGCGATGCTTGCCGGGTCTCTCTCTCTCTCTCTCTCTCTCTCTCTCTCTCTCGCAGCGCACGGTTGGAATCTGCCCGTTTTTTTCTCTTTTTTTTATCTTGTTTTAGTACAAATGCGTGCCTTTCTCTTTTCTTGGACGTTTCCCATATTTCGCCCGGTTTTTCGACAGCGACCGGGCGTTCAGTTCCCCGACCCCCGACACCTGCGGCATGCCACATCGGGATTTTTCGGCTGGGCAACGAACTGGTAGTTTAAGTTTGCCAGGTAAGGTCTGGAGGCGGTGTTGGCTTAGACCACCACCCTTACGGGGAGGTGGACTCGGAGACAACAATCTCATTCCACTTCTAGTTTACAACGGCGACTTCACATTCGGCCACACTCCACTGCTCTCCAAATCTACAAAATGAGAGTGAATCTTGCACTGGAACATGGGAAGATATACCGCCATACTTTGTCTTTTGTGCATGTGGAGAGTTGTGGAGCGAGGCCCTTTGCTGACATACACAAAAATAATTTCACAGCTACATAATGGTCATTAGTCCATTCATAACGCAGGATTTGCACAAGTCCATTCATAATTTCATATGCACTCCACTTATACATGAGGGTGGAGGGGAACAAGACACGGGCGAAAGGTAAAGAATGCCCTTGCCCTTTTATTAAAAAAAAAGAAAAAGGAAAAAAGGCACACACACACACACACACACACACACAATGACGTTGCACTCAGCTTATATATGAAGTTTTATGAACGTACCCTGAACATCATGTTGACCAGATCCAGCCGGGTGATCAGTTCGGTGACTGGGTGTTCCACCTTCACAAAGGAACATGCAACAGAAACACAGTCACACAAATAAATCAGACAAGCGATTGACTGGCTAGCGAACCCCAGAAAACAATCGTGTGCCAAGACAGAGCGCCGAATCCCCCGCTGACAGCTTACGACCGCAGACAGTCAACATGTTGGACATGGGAATTAAGTTCATTAACTAATGGGAATCAGTTCAGCTCCTTTCCATTCTGCTGAGCATCAGTCCAGGGCCTATTCCCCCAGCAAGTCAGAAAACATTACATACAATACTCACTCACGCACGTCCCGCGCGCACCTCCCCATTACGGTTGACGGGCCCGAGTTGAGCAGTTATTACGTCCTGCGGGAAGGATGTACCACCCCTCACCCCTGCCTAAGTTGACCTGTCTGACTTCACCCGAATATAACGCCCGGTCATTATAGCCGTATTTGGACCCATTTTCTGTCCAGATGCAGCGATAATGACCGGGTGTTCTATTCGGGTGAAGACGCTAGTCTGACTTTCACTGTAACTCTGCCTATTCATGCAATCTACCGTAAAGACATCTGCTAGCCCATACAGCTGCGCTTTGTTTTCGTTGCCGGACTAAACACGCCATTGCTTCACCACCATTTATTCCAGGTACAGAGCTCAGAGGCATCCAAAGGTCTGGTCGACAAGATAGTTTCAAAGTGGCTTACAGGTTTAGGGTAGACCAAGGGGCGGCTTACAGGTATATGGTAGCCCAAGGGGCGTGTTACGGGTATAGCGTAGCCCAAGGGGATGCTCAAAGAGTCCACGGAACAGCAACAGCGGCCGAGACAGCAGAAGCAGAGTGGCCAATGCAACAGCAATAGAGAAGTGAAAAACACAGCAACGAAAGCAACGAAAAGACACGGTCACCCTACACCAAGCCTAAACTAGCAACCAGATGACTCCCCCCCAAAAAAATCCCTCTGCATTCCCCCACCATTCCTCCTGAAAAAAAGGCCAAGGCCCATATTTGCCACAATCCGACCCAAAGATGCCCCACTTCCGCCCCCTAAGGCGGTAACATCCCGTATAGTCATCGACGTAACAACCCAGGGTATTCGTTACAGACTTCGGCTTCTGAACAGGGTCTTCACAAAATCAGGACCACCTACACCTTCATGAACCACCATCTGCTCCCTGCTACTAAGACAAAGACCTGCGGGAATCGTGTGAGGCTGTCGTCTCAGGCCATCTGGGATGGTGACCGGAAACGTTGCAGGTGCTGCTGACCTGCCGTGTCACGATCGCAATTTGATGGTTCAGGTTGGTGACCCAGCTTTTTTTTTTGTTTGTTTGTTTCCTTTCGCAGTTGGTACCACCGGCCTTCCAGGACGATCCGCTGATGTTGCTGGCCCACCAACCTGAACCTTTGAATCGCGAATCGTCCATCTCCTCCACCCAGTTACATCCTTCATGACCAGCCTCCCCGGAAAAATGCTGGGGCACCCTTCTGAACCCCCCTTTTCTCTGCTGTTGACCTCCTTGATGCTCCCCACTTAGGCCAAACAACCTCCAAACGTCTGCCTTTCACCCTCAAATGCCCCTCCCTTGTTCTGTGTTTTAACTTTTAACCCCACATAACATCACCCCTTCTTCCAGGTTACCCCGATGTCCGTGAAATCGAGAAGAAGGTGCCTACGTACGTGCCTACTTCCATAAGACTCGACAAGCTGACATGCACTCCATCGCCCTCTTCCCACAAGCACAATACCACTGCAAATCCTCCGTCAAAGGCTCTTCATATGGCGGCATTCTAGCATGCAAGTTCGCAAGTCGTGACATGGCAGCCACAAACCTGCAGCCGGGTGTTCGTCTCAAGAAAATAGTAGTCGTGTTGCTTGTTCACAAGAAACTCCACAGTCCCTGTGAATCACAGAGGTCGATCACAAGTCAGAGGCGATTCATGCCATGCTACCTTCTTCCCCCGAATACAACGTACGGTCATTATAGCTGAATTTGGCGTATCTTTCGGTCTAAATACAGCTATAATGACCGTACGTTGTATTCGGGGGAAGAAGGTAGTGGCTTACCACACAAAGAATATCATCTTCCCCCAAGCACAACGCATCCACATTATAATAATTTATAAATTATAAGTTATAACTGCATTGGAGCAGAACGATGGCTTGTCTACATTTACGACCAGAGTTCATTGTGTTCTGTGGAAGATGGCGGTAAAGCTTTATCCTGCCGATACCCATGAGCCGAGTTCGTTATATCTTTTCAATGGAAGACGGCGCTTGCGCTCATCCTGCCCATATACCCACTCCTCAGCGTGGATGGAAAAGCGCAAAGGAGAATGGTTGCAATATTTTCTACCACACCCGCAAAAGTTCATTTGCCTCATTTAGAAAAGAAAATTGTGGGGGGAAAAAAAGTTACAAAGACTTTTCTTACCACCCTTCTTTCTCGTTCTCCACCTGCCGAACATTCGTTGAATGGCACACAAGCGGAGAACTTGGGAGGAGCTTTGCCTCATTTAGAAGGAAAAAAATATGAAAAAAAAAAAGTCACAAAAACTTTTCTTACCACCTTTCTTTCTCTTTCTCTGCCTGCCGAACGTTCGTTGAATGGCACACAAGCGGAGAACTTGGGAGGAGTGGGTATGGGCAGGTGGAGAAGGAAAAAGGAAGGTGATGAGAAAAGTTTTTCTAACACGCTTTGGAGGCACACAAGTGCGAGAGCCTTGGAGGAGGAGGTGATAGAGAAATCATAGAACTGATGACGACAAGCGGACTGTGAGCCCAAGATTCTGTTGCACAACAAAAAAGACTGCTGCTTTTTCTGGACGGTCAGACGGGCATGTGGTATCGAGCGTGGGCACTGTAGATTTTGGCCCGGCACTCGTAGACAAGAGAAATGAACAGTGCGGGGGCCGCCGTTGGAGTGGTAGTTTAAGGGCCTTGCTTCACTACTCTCCAGATGCACAAAAGACAAAAGATGTCAATGTATCTTTCCATGTTCCAGCTGAAGATTCATTCTCATTTTGCACACTTTGTGAGCAGTGAAGCGAGGCCCTACGTTATCTGTTTGAACTTTGAATTAGAATGGCGCGGACAAGATTCGCATCATCATGGCCTTTAAAGAAAAATGGCAATCTAAATCGAAAGTTCGAAATACAGTAACAGAAAAGGAAAGCAAGGAGAGAGAGAGAGAGAGAGAGAGAGAGAGAGAGAGAGAGAGAGAGAGAGAGAGAGAGAGAGAGAGAGAGAGAGAGAGAGAGAGAGAGAATGTTTACGATCTTCTGGACAACCGCTCACACTGTCTGGGTCAATGCACGGACCGCTGCCCAGATAAAAAAACTATTAATTTATTAAAATAATATTATTGATGTATAAATTTTCTTCACAAATAAAGTCATATGAACCAAATTTCCAAAAAAGACAGAAAAAAAACGAAGCTCTGAACAAAAAAAAAAAAAAAAAAAAAAAAAAAACAGATCCGTTGTGTACCATCAGAATAAAAACAAATCTGGAAGTTCAGACCCAAATTCGAGGGAATATAAATTTTTATTAAGAGTTGAAAATTCGTCCTGGCGGAAGTAGTCAATGCTGTCAGGGATCCCCGGTCCGTAATGCCGGGAAAAGTCAAGCGGGTACCATGACTTGTCCACACGGACATTGGGCCCAGTTTCCAGCAGGTGCTGCTCCCCACCAATGCAACGGAGCGTCTCCCAAAAAAAACAAAAAAAGAGATGTATAAAAGAGATATGTGAAACAACTTCAGGCAGTTAGTATAAACAAGTTGGAAAGGTAAAAATTTAAAATTCTGAAGAAAAGGATAACCTCCCTGGTCAGGATCAATCGGGACATATGAATGGTACCCAGACGACACACACACCGGACTGGATTGTCTGGATCTGCCCAGCCGAGCTGTCTGACTTAACCATGTGAGAGAGAAGTGGAGAGAATAGAACCAAACATCGAACGATCAGCCAGAAAACGACAGTAAAAAGGGAAAAATATAACAGCAACAACGAAAGCAAAGAAGGAATTGGAGTGTGTGTGCAAATTGTAATCTTGACTTGCCGGTGGAATACGAACCAGACTGACTCTCTTCCCAGAATGGATGCGGAGCTCAAACCGTCAGGTTTTGTTTTAGGTTGGAACTTGGAAGGCACAAAATGAAAAAAAAGGAGAGAGCAACGAAGGAAATTGGATACTGCAAAGAACAGAGCCGAGGATGGAATTGCGACAAAAAAAAAAAAAGAGAAAATGTACCGGCAGAACGATAGCCGGAAGCTTGAGCAAGGCGAAGCGCCGCTTCTCCCATTGCCTTCCGAAGTCCTGCATCAACGCAAGTGCTGGGTGCCTCCTCGACAACCTGGAGCATTCCACAGAACCATCGCCCAAAAAAGAGGAGGGGGCACACATGCAACAACACAAGCTAATCGTGTCATCCATTCAGCTTCCCAACGGCACCACTTCTCATACTTCACATAACGACAATGACTCATTAACCCAGTTGACGACAACAACTTTTTTTTTTTGAGTTTTGCAACTTTTGCTTTCATTATTTCTATAGAGTTTCAAATTTTAATCTAACGGTCAGAAATTCTCAGAATCTGTTATAATCGGACTCAGATCCGTCGATGACTCCGCTGACGACATCATTTACAACATCATCTTTCGAGTTTGCTTTCGTTAAATGATGTCATCAACCGAGTCACCAACCAAGTCAAACAACGGATCCGTGCTTTCGAGTTTGCTTTCGAGTTTGCAGCCGAGTCCATGAAGTTTCAATATACAGGTCAGAAATGAATCTGTTATTAAATGAACTCAGATCCGTTGTTTATGTCTCTCATCTTTTATAAAAGTTAGGCAGCTGTAGAAAAAAAACATGCATGTCCCGTGCTACTATGTACCACTCTCTGGAATAGCGAATAGCGAATGGAGAATACTATGCCAAATAGCGAATTTTGCTGAACAGCCGATTGGGCGAATGGCAATACAAAATGCAAGCAAGGTGCGGTGTGCTGTCAGCACCATCACATCTTTCCTCCTGATGTTCCACCGGTCCCACAACTGGTGGTCCCGACCTCGACCTCGAACCAGAACCAGAACATCAAAATCCAAAAAAGGTAAAGAAAAATGGAAAAAACCTTAAAAAAAACGAAACAAAGAAGAAAAAACTTCAAAAAAGCTGGCACCAAGCAGAGCATGCAGCATTCCCATGAATGTGTGAAGCACAACCATCATGTCTAGCAGACACCAATAATACAACGCATATCCCATACGGTGTTAACAAGTTAATAACACACAGGGGATTTCACCCAGCACTTGGAGTCTCTGACCCAACTGAGATGATTAACACCCGAACGCCACTACAAGACGTTTTGCCCTAGGGGAATAGACAAGGACTCAATCATTTGCCTTTATATACCCCTCACGTGAGGCACCACGCACAAGGACCACCATAACACATTCTTTTTTTCTTTTTTTTTTCTTTTTTTTTTATTTGTGCGTGTGTAAAAAGGTCCTTATGGACCTGGCTCCATATCTGTTCAGGGGAGCGTCAGTCCGGTTCCTATTTTCCCGGCAAGTCAGCAAAAACAGTATTACATCATATGTACACACACTCACACACCCTCCCGTCCGGCCGAAGGGGGTCCCTGATGAACTGTATGTAACACATTCCACAGAACATAAAAGGGTCAAATTTGGGAGAGTACAGAAACAGACCGACAAATGAGGTCCAACATTTTGGCAGCACAGGTTGTATGGAGTTAGTGGGCAAGATCATTCATCGTTGTTGATGGATTCAGATGAATCATAGACCGGATTACTCAACAGATCATTGGGCAACATTCACAAAGCTGGAAAGATGACTACAGGAAAGATCGTCAGGAAGGACAACGGGGGAGATGGAAAGGAAACAACCACAAACTACCACAGAGGTGCAAGTCCAAGAGATCGAAAGGAAAATGAGAAGAGCGACTGCGGTCAAGCAGCACACAATACCCATCATACACGAAATGGAGGAAGCCGGGCCCCAAACACAGGTGTTCCTTGCACTTTTGCCGATCCAGCAGTGAAGGCCTGCCAAAAGCTGATGTCAGGAGGTGGAGATCACCGACACAAGAGAGAGAGAGAGAGAGAGAGAGAGAGAGAGAGAGAGAGAGAGAGAGAGAGAGAGAGAGAGAGAGAGAGAGAGAGAGAGAGAGGGTTCCTATAGTTTGTGGTTGATACAGGAGCTNAGAGAGAGAGAGAGAGAGAGAGAGAGAGAGAGAGAGAGAGAGAGAGAGAGAGAGAGAGAGAGAGAGAGCTTTTGCCTGCAGAAATGTGATACATTCGATGGAAAAACTGCCTCCTTACCCCATTATCCATATCCTCCCTCCACCTCTCGCCCTCTGCCCTTCCCCAAGATCTTTACAGCCACCTCCAAGCGAGCAGACAAATGCCCCTATTTGCGCATGGCCAAGAACTACTCTCTAGAAGCCCCAAGAGTCATGTGTCCGGGCAATCCACAAATAATGACCATCATCCAGAAGGAGAACCTCAACTACTTTCACAAGAGAACAACTTATACTAACAGCAAGAAGATCGGTGGTCACAATGACGAGCGACATCATTCTCCATCGACATATCATGCCAGATCAAACAATACCATGGAGACAGGGAAGTTACAAAATAGAAGGGCTGGAGAGGCCAAGGAACCACGCTAAGAAATGGATCACCAACGATCAAAGAAGCAGGGCACCGCAGAGGAAAGAGTAGCCTAGGCACAAGTGTGCAGAGCACAAAAACAAACTTGCCGAAGTCTTTGGATTTCACAATGCACCATTAACAACCTCTCTCTCTCTCTCTCTCTCTCTCTCTCTCTCTCTCTCTCTCTCTCTCTCTCTCTCTCTCTCTCTCTCTCTCTCTCTCTTTTCAAATCTACATAGTGCTACTGGTCGCCAAACTGGCATCTCGGAACAATGGACCTTGAGCTAGTGCATTGCGCAGTGCTGTTCACCTGACAATGCTGACATAGAAAACCATGCAGACATGGTATGCATGAACTTCTTGCACTCAGCCAAAGCTACTGCATACTCTGCTGGTCGGACGACCGTGAGATAAAAAGGCGTTTGGTGGTACCTCCAACCAGCACTAACCTGACTTCGGATGCTACTCAGACGGTCAAGCGCTTGCCGCATAGATCCCTGTGAATGGATGGTTCCAACTTCATAAGCAGCATAACATAATTTGTTTTCAGATTTCTCTCTTTTTTTTTTTTTTTTGTTGCTGGGACCTTCTATGGTCCTTGCACGGCCGGGAAGGCCGGGCAAACACGGTGATCCGCCCGGCTGGTAGCCAAGTTCTGGCGTATATTGTTGAACTGAAACGGTATTCACCAATTCGCAGTAGCGAACGCAGGTCCCAGGGCTCGATCCCTAGTTCCCCATCTTACCCGTGTACAGTATTGAGGTCAACCCGTAGATTTGAACCTGCGACCTGTCGAAACGCCAGTGGTAGGTAGATTGTCGTAGGTCACAGCTTAGAAGAGATTCGAACTGTAGACCTGTAGGGTAGGAGTCTAGACAGTTCTAAGGTCGTAGCTGTAGACTGCCTGAAGGGTCAAGGTCGTAGCCGCTACTTACCTGAAAGGGCAAAGTCGAAGCTGCTACAGTACCGAAGGGCCAGCGTAGAGGTTTCTAGAACTGGCCTTTCGGAGCTGGCCTGCGTTCAGCAGAGGCAAGTGGTCAAGTGGTGGTAGTCCACCTAGCCCAGTCAGCAGGCCCAGGTAGCCCAGTCCGGTCCAGTCAAGCAAGTACCGTCTGGGACTGTGCACATCGTGGGCCAAAGGATACAGGGCAGACCAACGCAGCGCAGAAGTATAAATCAAGAGGCTGCGTCCAGCCATTCATTCATTCCTGCGGATGCCATGCGGAAGCGCTGCCTCAGCAGCTTGTGCGAGGAGGTCTGCAGTGCGCCCGAAGACGAAGTGGGCAGAGAAGTGTAGTGTAGCGATAGGGTAGTGGCAGCTAACGCTGCCATAGCCATAGCCTAGTGTGTGTGTGTTGTGTATGAACACCGAGTGTTGCGTGTGGGACATCCAGGGTGATCTTGAGTGTGAACAGTGAGTTGTATAGGCGCACAGTCGCCATAGCCAGTTGGAAGAGAACTCATATCTGGTTACGATATCTTCGAGTACTGTGTGGGCGCATGTCGCCAGTTTGCTGTCTCACTGTTTGCATGTGTAACAAGTGTGAATAAGCGAGTCGGAATGCAGAACCACCACTACCTCCAAGCCTGGCCTGCCAATCCAAGCAGAAACCTCTTCGGAAGGAGATGAATAAGGTCGATGGTTCAACCCCCCCCCCCCCCACCACCCTTTTATTTCCGCTTGCCAACTTCAAGATGAACGCTTCGCCTTCCATCACCGGAGGTCATGAAATATTTTATTGAAACAAAAAGCAGAGCACAGCAACCCAACCCATCTCGAGATAAGAAACACACATAGCAATCTCTCATATGACAATGAACTAGGTATAACCAAGTTTCATTGATATCGGACGAACATCACATATCAAAATGAACTATGCAGCGCGGACTCTCTTCAACCGACCAAAAAAAAAGTTAGCCGCACGGAATCTCTTCAAACAATAAAAGAAAAGCGGCATAATTGCCGCATTAGAGGGAAAAAGCACCTGCAATCCAGCCTCTGTAGAGTGTCGAGATTTCGTTTTGATGCTGCGATAACACAACAGCATAAATTTTTCTGTTCATGCAACAAGGAAGAGAGACATCGAGAATACTATTCGCAGGGTTCAATAAAAGATCATGCAAAGGTCATGGGGGGTACAGCTGCAGAGCAAGGGGGACAGACATCTGGGGGGAAAAAACAGGGGCGTAATAGCGTGCGTGTGCTCTGAAGAAAAGACGTCGATACGAGTCCAGGAACATGCCCCCAGCAGAATAGGGGAGGGACAATCCTATTGATGTGGGTTCACTCCCATTTCATTACTATCTGGGACCTGACAGCTTCATAGATAGCTCCACTCATTTATAGCTCCACTCGTTTATCCTATCTTAACAGTATTGACTCCCTCTCTCTCTTTGACAGGACGTACTAACGACTGCACCAACGTTGGACCTTCAATCCTCATCTGTTCTCCCATGTCCCTTGTTCCTCCAATGCCTATAAAAACTTTCCAACGCCTTAGTAATGCCTATAAAAACTGGGAAGTATATCTGGCCTCCAACTGGGACTCCGGCGTTCATAGTTCAGTTTCAAACTTTCAGTGCTTTATCGATGCAGTTGGGGAGTTGGGACACCTTCAATCGGTTACCATTTGTGTGTTAAGTGTCCTTGGGATGCACTATGGGCTCCGGCCTCGGGGTCAGTGTCACTGTGTCCGGGTCTGGGTGATATGTGCTGGGATCACCTTTTGTTTTCGTCGCTGTACTGAACACTCCCGCTCGGGGAAGTATATCTGTGTTTGAAACATATCAAAACAAAGCAACACACACACACACACACACACACACACACACACACACACACACACACACACACACACACACACACACACACACACACACACACACACATACACACACACCCACACACACACACACACACGTGCACCACAAGAGAACTTGTAAGAAACATAAGAAAGTAAGAAACGCAAGGAAGTAACGGTAACTGAACTGTTTCTTAAGGAATTGCAACATGACCTCCATATCAAGAGGGGGCAAATCCAACATACGGAACCTGAGGCAGCAAATTGTAACACAACCTCCATCCGGCAGACAAATCCAAAACATATATATTGATTAAGTCGCATGCTTTTAGCTGCATGCACATTTGCAACGCCGCTTTGCAAGCAACTCCTCGTATGGTTAATTGGTACCCCCACACACGGTGGTTTAGGGTTCTAGAACCCTAAACCACAACTGCACAGAGGCATCCCTGGAATTTCAAATTTCCTAGAGGGTGATCAATTTTTACTACTATCAATTTTTTCTGTTCCCCTTTTAGTGCAAGCCCCTGCATTCCCGAGAAGCCAAGGTCCCGTTTACTTGCAGAGGTTCACTCAAGTGACATGACAACTGGGAGGGTTGGGGTGATTGCCCCCAACTGCCTAAGAATGCAATTTCCATGCAGAACGTACTGCATGCAGATGCTGAACCCTTAATAACAAATTGTTAACATTGCGCCCCCCCCCACAATCCCCTGCACAAATCATCAGATTGCTCAGATGGTTGTCGTTGAGGCTGTGCTCATGAACAGCAGCAGTTGTGTCCGACTTGATTGCTTTCTGTTGGCTTCTTTGAGAGGGTGTAGCCACCCGGCTTACCCTTCTCTTCATATACAAGTCTCGACGGGCCACGCTTACTGTGTTCACCGATTCAAATCTGGTTCATTAACCAGTTTCGATTAAAAATCACGGTTTGAATCATATACAAGTTTCGACCTTTGCGTGTTTACGGTTTGCAATCTGGTTCATTAATGAACAGAGGACTTTATTTTCAAGGCCGTGTATGCGTTGCTGCCATGCTTTGTGCTAAATCAGAATGTCCACCGAAAAGAGGCCCCAGCCTGGCAGCAAAGGCAAGAAAAGTCTGCCATGTTCCCAAGGAGAGGACAGTATAAAAAAGGAGAGGAGAGGAGAGGAGAGGAGCGGAGGGAAGAGGAGAAGGATGAACGAACCATGTTCCCAAAGTTGTCGGCCATGATTTGAATCTCAACATGTCGTGGTTCCTCCAGGTATCTGCATGTGCATATGACACAACCATCTGAAAGTGAGTTAAAACTTGAAAAGTTAAGAACAAAGCAAGAATACTGGCAACACGTAATGAGCCCGGAGCGGGACCGCATGGCCTTGCTCACATAGGGAACAGAAAGAAGAGAGCAGCAGCAAGTTTGCACTTGACCACATGTATTTAACAGTCAAAAGACGACTAGAGAGAGAGCTCCAAGGACAAAACCATGGCATAGTGCGCTGCACCAAGAGCTGTATCACATTCTAAATTCCTAGCAGATCTCTGCAAACAAGAAGCACAAACCGAACAGAAAAAAAAAATAAAAAAAATTGTAGAGCCACCATCGCATCAAAATTTAATAAAATTGATTGAATAGAAAGGACCCACAACCTGTACAGCTCCTTTTTGGGGGGGGTTAATGAGACGGCCCGACCTACACTGTGTACCATAGACTGTAGAGCTGTTTTTCGTTTTCTTTCTGTAAACCACAAACCTCATAATATTTATGTTTTGCAAAATCAAATGAGACCGCAACAAAGTCGAACAAACGAGATTACGCGTGATGGAACAGAAGTTACAGAACGGACACAGTAAATCCTTAGTATTTCTTACTCACCGTTCAATGAAAATCCGATTGTCACCGAAACTTGACATTGCTTCATACTTGCAAAGATTGAAGCCCTCTGTTACATCATCTTCATTCCTAAAACATACAGATCCAAGGAACACAATCAAATCCCCCCGCATCACATGGTCCCGCATCACATTGAAGAGAAGCAAATCCCCCCGCATCAGATAGAAGAGAATACAATCATTCTCAATTGCCTGGGGCCGGTCCGTTCAATCATTCAATGATGCTATCTAACAGGCCGTCACTCTTTATAAAGTAAAAAAAGACGAGACAGAAATGGTATTCATCATGACTCATCAAAACAGAAGCTGTAAATGATGTTACCACCCCTGAAAAAAACGAGGGCCTCTCTCGAGCCTCATTGAAGCACTAAATGCCACACCCTCTTGCTTACATTGCTTTCTGGCCAAACCAGATGCTTCTCTCCACTAGCTGCCATTGACTACGGGCCAAACAGCTAGACCAGATGCTTCTCTCCACTAGCTTCCGATGACCGTCGGCGGCCACACGGCTACTAGGCATTTCTCTCAATCTTCCCAAGTACGAGAGTAGAATCAGAGCCACCGAACCCATTACCGTACAAAGTAGCAACGGCGGACAAAAAGAACAGAGAGATGACAAGAGTCAAGCCTAACCCGGGTAACCCCCCGCTAGCTTGACAAAGATGGAGATGGAGAACGGAGCAAGGAGAAAGAACGTGAACGATATCCATGTTTGGAGTCTTTGGACACCGAAAGCACGCAGTGTGGGAGCAGGGCCGCACCCTTGGGCAACCTATTACGTACCACGCAACTCGCATGCCCTTGCCTCCGCCACCAGCTGCAGGCTTCAATATCACCGGAAAACCTATCTTCCTGGCTGCAAAACAGATACAAGAGGTGCACCGCGTCGCATATAACAGTATTTATTTATTTTTCTGTACAGCACTCTGCACATCTATGCATGACTGCACTGCATGGTTATTGTCGCCACAGCCTCCGCATTCTCCAACACAAGAGGCAAAGCGGAGGCTGTGGTGACGATAACCATGCAGCCATATTAAAATTTGAGTTAAAGTTTCAAGAAAAAGACTTCACTGTGTGAAATTTCTGCAAATTGAGAAATTGATCTATCTAAATTTGGATTAAAAAACAACCTTGTAGTTCTATTGGCCATGTAGGTTACCTTTTAATTGGTTTTTCGTGTGGGACTATCGAAGGTATACAGTCTTCACTAATAGATGTTTTCATTCATGTAATAATGATCATCAATGTATCTGGATTCTGGAATAGTTTGCTTTATATGTATAAAGAGGGGGGGGGGGGGGGGGGGGGGGAAGGCATTAGACCAAAGCTGTGAGTTGCACAAGAGGCTCTACTGCCTCTTGTGCCACCACAGCCTACCTTGTTCACTTGTTAAGTTGTAACAAAAAGGGAAAAAAAAAGGCATTAGACCAAAGCTGAGAGATCCATTCTACTGAGGGAAGCAACACCCCCATTCATAAAAGTAACTCGAACCTAATCCACAGGACTCCACAACAACCGTATCCAACTTTTTCTTCGGGTTCCTTCCACATCCTCTAATTACTCCATGTCCTTAGCTCAGCTCTGGATTACAAGTGCTGAGTTCTTTTCCTGAAAGGGTAAACATCGGATGCACTCGACTCCATCAGAATCTCAACTCCTCGTCCGAAAACAGTCACATGCGCGTAACATTCAGCTACATGAACCAGGAACAGCTGCATGAACCAGGAACAGCTGCTCACTTGTCACTAAACCACCACTACCACTTTTCATTCAGCTACATGAACCAGGAACAGCTGCATGAACCAGGAACCGCTGCTCACTTGTCACTAAACCACCACTACCACTTTTCCCCTCCCTGGTCACCACCAGACCAGCTGTCATTTTTCAGCTGGTCCCTTGGATTCACAATCTGGTGACCACGGACTTTCGCCTGTCAGCAGTGGTTGGTTCAATTTTTTGGGACGTAGTGGTGGGTTTATATTACTTAATAACTTTATACATCTTTTCCGTCTTTTCACCTTGGCTGCTCTACCTGGTACCCCATGCCTTCTCGCCACACACAGGTACAACCAATCACAGACTCAAAGTGGCCCCTCTCTCGTCCAGACCCATTCTGCACAGGAACAGCTGCATGAACCAGGAACAGCTTTTCTGCCGCTTATGAAGGGACCTCGTTCTGAACCTCTGTGCAGTCTCTCTTTGTAGGCACGGGACAATTTTCACCATTACCACTTCAACGGTTCAACCACCTCAAAATTATATTTCCATTGGACATCTTAAGCTTGCACATGAACATCATCCCATTAACTCCAGTATAATCCCCTTGCATTGTTCTCCAGCCCGATGCAGAGCACACAGAGCTCCCAGTTTACCGTCCAACACCACCCCGCATCATGTCATCTTGTAATGAACCGGTGAAAGGATCAACAGAAACGTCCGAGTGCCGTCAACACCCCTTCATTGCCCCTAAACACATGCACACCACTCACTGCAAACAAATGGTTCTTTAAGAAGGGAGGGGGGGGGGGGGGGGGGGGGGGGGA